CTGTGCAAGAACCATAGTAAAATGCAATGCATGCCTGCTCCCATGAGGAAATTAGGGATGTGGAGTGTATTGTCTTAAGCATTAATGTTAATGCAATCTTAGTAATTATTCAGTCGACAGTAATTTATTACAGAGGACTGATTTGCAGAGCTCAGAAATAATTGTGGTTAGACTGCAAACTTAGCATATCAAAAGTGCTAGACACAGACTCAGTAAGTGGCAGATGATGTGCTTAGGTTTATCTGGTTTGCAGATGCATGCTCAACATATTAAAATTTCATGTGTCTGACATGACAAAACACCACGGGGTTTTCTCTTATACTGTGAACCTGCATCAATTAGCAGTTATAGAAATCCCTTGTGTTCTAGCCAGCTCTACAGCACCACAAGCTCTTGCTGCAATCACCATAGCCCAGAGTTTTTGCTGGGTGCTCACCAGCTTGCAAAACCCACTTGTGATCCAGCGTCAGGGATGCTTTAACCCAAGCACGGAGATTATGAAAATCACATTAAAACAGTGACCAGTGAATGGCTTGGACTGTTGTGGAGCAAATTCACTGCAGGGGAAGGACCAGTCCTGGTTCTTGCAACTGACCCTTCTTAAAGAGGCCAGTGCATGTGTCCAGAGAGGGGCAACAGAGCTGGGGAAGGAGCTGGAGCACAATTCTGAGGAGGAGCAGCTGAGGGTGCCGGAGGGGCTCTGGAGTATGGGAGGCTCAGTGGGGATGTTTTTGCTCTCTAAAACTCCCTGAAAAGAGGAGGTAGTGAGGTGGGGGGTGGTCTCTTCTCCCAAGGAACAAGCAATAGGATGAGAGGAAATGGCCTAAAGTTGTGCCAGGGGAGGTTTAGGTTGGATATTAGAGAAAATTTGTTTGTGATACTGGCACAGGCAGTGGTGAAGTCACCATCCCTGGAGAGCTTTAACATGCATGAAGATATGGCACTTGGGGACATGGTTTAGTAGTGGGGGCTTTTTTCATCAAAACAATTCCATTATTTTACCACAGCCTTATAAAACACATTTTCAGCTATTAGATGAAGAGCAGTGTGTGGGAAATGAGCTCAGGGAAATTCCTTTAAACTGAAGACAGATGCCAAGGAGCCGGCAGAGCAAAGGAGGAGTACTTCATTGTAGGGGAGATGGAACAAATCTTTGAATGGCTGAGAAACCACCTCTAGTGCAGGCACTGGGTTCTTGTGGAAGCAGGAAGCTGCTCCGATGGCTGCTGGATGCCTCAAGCTGCCCTGAGCTGTGGAGGAGCCCAACTGCTGCTCGTGCAGTCACATCACCCTCACCCAGTGTGCCACTGTGCCACTGCTGGCATCAGAGCTCCTGCTCTGCTCCAGAGTGGGGTGGTGCTGCCACAGCAGCTCTGCTCTTTGTGCTAGGGCAAAGCCCCTTTGAAGGGATCCTCTGCTGTGGTGGGACAGCTGTGCCACCCTCCCAGCAGCCATCGCGAGAGCTGGGAATTAAGAAAGCACATGATAATTTAGAGTTCTGTGGATTGCATAGCACTTGGATCATGTGGAAATTTACTTATCAACAGGGGAAAGCAAGACCTATTTTGTGTGTGAGCCTGCAGTGTGTCCTGCAAGGGGCTCTGTGCCACGTGCTGGAGCTCCTGTGCCACCCTGCTGGAGTGTGGCACAGCCCTGCTCTGGCCAAAGCCCTGGCCTTGCCCTCCTGCCTGCCTGCTGCCCACCCTGGAGCTGGTGATCACATCCATCACGGTCACATCCCACTTGACCAAGAGCACTTCGGAAAAAGTCATCTTTGGCAGCTTTTAAAAAGGCTCTTGACTCACCTCAGCCTTTCTGCTCTCTCCAATACAGTGCAGGTGCCCCAGCAGTGCCAAGAGCTGCCTGAGGCTCACTTGAATCCAGCTTGTGGGACTTGGAGCTCTCAGGGACATTATGGCCATCACTTCCCAGTTCCTGCTAGTGGTGAATGAACTTCTCTCCTCCTAAGCAGAGCCCAGCAGACAAGCATTTGGTGTGAATGATTTTTCATCTTATTTGTGGTAGGAATGAATCCTGTAAAAGAGATGAGTGAGGATGCCTGTCTTTAGCACGTGTGTGAGGATTTGGGATAAAGCCTCCCAGAGCCCACCTGCTCCAGTGCAGTCAGCTTTCCCAAGGCTATCCACCACTCAGGAAACACTTCAGTAATTTTGCTTGGTGCAATGTCACTCCAGCCAGGAAAGGGACATTGCTTTGGCCCTGGTGGGGACCAGCACACGCTTCCTGTGCAGCAGGAGCACGTTCTGCTTCCCTGGCCCCCAGCCTTCGGGCCAGAGCTCAGTGGGTCAGGGCTGCATCCGAGCAAGGAACCGCCAGAGGTCAGAGAAGAGACGAGATGCTCAAGCCCATCACTACGGTGTAGAACGACCTCTCCCGGAGAGATCATTGCCAGAAGTTTCCCGAGGCGCTGCCCTCTGGGTGGATTTGGATGTTCTCGTTCGGGAACCTCCTCAGCTTGCCGGGACTCCTCACAGAGCCGGCTCTTGTCCCACCCTGCTCGAAGCCGCTGGATATTTCAGTTTTCATCGCTAGATGGAGCAGGAGACAGCACAGCGCCCGGAGGGAGCTCTGCCTTGCCCCATGGCCCTGCACACAGACAGCTCCTCTGCCCCTTATCGCCTCCTCACACCCTTTACAGCCCCCTGCAGCCCATCTGCCCCCACCCATCCTTTACAGCCCCCTGCAGCCCAGGAATGCCCACTTACCACCATCTCCCCTACAGATCCCATACGTTCCTCCGCACATCATGCATTCAATGCCCTCCTTTACATCCCCTGCACTCCCCCAGATGTTGGGAAAACCCCTGGGACATGTTGCCTGGGGAGCTGGGATTCTCCATGCCAACACCTCTTGGGAGGGTCATAGTGGCTGGTGCTGCCTGGGGACAGGGGCACGGTGTGAGTGGCCTCTGGATCCAGCTGGATTTTCCCGTGGTGGTTCTCCCACTGGTGAGCTCAAGCCCTCCCAGCCCATGGTCCCACAGTGCCAGCTTGCATCTCCTCAGAGTCCATCAGTTTGGGGAGGACACACTCATCACTGGCCTCCTGCAACCCTTCAGGTTTGGGAGTGAAGGACTAAGGTGTTTCTTCAGAAAACAGTTGTTCTCATTAATAAAGCCAAAAGCCTGAACCAGGCTTGAGCAGTATCTTTGCAGAGTGAAGTGTGACCCTGTGCCCTGAAAGGAGAACTGGCCCCAGCCCAGGCCCTCCCCACTGGGCTCCCTGCACAAGCAACTGCTTCAGGACTACCTAAAAATTCAGAATATCTAACTGTCCTGGTGGAGAAGCTGGTCCTGGCTGGAAGAGCTCTGAGAGTGTTTGCTGGGGAGAAAGAAAGACAAACAACTTGCAGATAAGTTTCTCTAGAATCAGGAGCAGTTTTCTGGGTTTTACTATACGTGTAGGGAAGATTTTTTTTCCTCCCTAAAGTAATGAAAATAGCTTCTTTCATACATGAGAAAGGGAAGAGAGGGAACTTTTCCAAAGAGCCTCTTTCCCTCAATCCCCCTCCTATGGCACAGGACATTTATCCTCAGAATGGACAAGCTGAGATTTTTCAGTCCCTGGGGCAGACCAGTAGTAACAAAAGCAAAGTTAAACAACTCCAAACAAAAGCTGCAGCAGAACAGGGGTGTGGTGGTGGAAATAATGCATGGCTAAGTAAGAAACTTTAATGATACATGGAAAAAGTTAAACAATTAAAACTTGAATCAGTCTGGCCCTGGTCCCACCTCATTTAGTTAATAAATGCTGTGCTTCATCACGGTGGAGCTTGTGCCTCTTTTTTCCTGAAGAAGAGAGGAGGCTCCCAGTGCTGGGCTGGTCAGAGTAGCTGTGTGGGCAGCAGAGGGTCTGGGGGGCTCCAGAGCTGCCCAGGCTCTCTGTACCCCTCAGTCTCACAGTGGGGATCACCCCAAGGGGTGAAGCCCCCCAGCATCAATGCCCAGGGCAGAGGGGCTGGGGATGGTGGTGGCTAAACCACAGAAACACATCAACACATGTGTGAATAGAAAAACCACTAACTGCAGAGTCATAACCATATTAATTATCTCAATATGTGTACAAATTAGACAGAGAGTCACATAGACCCACACTGGAAACTTTTTCTTTCCCCTATGGAAACCTTTTCTGCCACATGCAGATCTGCAGAGGTTTTGTCTTTTAAATGTTTTAGGCACATACAGACAACAATTTCCATATATGAACACTTGCCAAATCAAACCTTTTAGGTTAAATATTGGAGGCACTTACCTCATACCCCTTCTGACTTTCCCATACGCCAGTGATTTAAATCCCAATCAACTGTTAAAGCCAGACCCATAGAGATTGAGCTACAGAAGCAAACATCCCTCTGACACAGCTGCCAACCCCAGCCTGCCCTCACCTCCCAGTGCCCCACACTCCCACTGCCCCAAGGGCTTCTGTACTCCAAGGGTCAGCAGTAACCTCTCCTTGGGAAGAAGCCCAGCTCCCTCCAGCAGGGTCAGCCCCAGCACTGCAGAAGTGTGGATCCCAGTCTGATGACAGCCTGGGACATCAGGTGGGAGAAGGTTCCCTTGGAGTGTCACTGTGGCCGATTAAACATCACCAAAATCACTGATTCTCCAGCCTTGTGCAGGGGCAGATGCAGCGCAGCTCTGGACCATCACAGGGTGAGCTGGGTCACACTGGTGGAGAAGAGCCAGGCACCAGTGGGGGATCACACAACAGGCAGAGACACAGTGGCCTTTCCCACCTCCACACCTGACAGGATGCAGGATCCCAGGTCACAAGTTAAAAGAACCCCACAGCAATTCCCCCAAAACAGGCGAAACCTCAAACAAGCTGTCAATGAAATGTGGAAAGCAATCAGCATGGAGATGCAATTTGTATCTCCAAGATGCTTTCTGAAGTTTATCCAGTGTTGTTCTCACCTGGATGCCAGGGGACCCCCACACATATGGACCAGGCAAAGGCCAAGTGATGTGAGACAAAACCCATAATACAATTTTATTTTTTGTTTCATACAAACAGTACCCTCCCCACATTTTACAGAGTTTAACAGCATTATCTGGTGACAGAGAAGGTGACACTTGCTTGTGGCTGCTCCTGCAAGCCTCACAACAGGAACAGGGTGGCCTGAAGCCAGGAAACCATGTGCCCTGGGATGGGCCTGTGTGAGGCAGCTCCAAGCTCTGCAGGGGGATCAGGTGAATTGATTACTCCTAAGAAAGGGTATCATGAGATGCCATGTGGAAATATTGATTTGAGGGAACTTGGGATCATTAGAAGAACAGCTCCATGCCCAGCATTCCCACTGGTGTGGCAGCCAAGCAAGACCACCAAGGGCACCCTGGCAGCAGCCTGCTCAGCTGGGTGTTTAAAACGAGGGCAATGAACCAACTAATGAACTTCTTGGTGCTCCCTGTATCAGGGCTGCAGATTCCTGGCATCCTGCAGGACATGGCCACCATGCAGGTAGAGACAAACGGGGACAAGAGCCCCAGGGAGTGACAAACAGCACCACTGGCAGCTCCAACTGCCTGCCTGGAAAACAGGGAAGGGCATCCTGTGCCATTCATGTTGTGAGTCTTCCATCATGTAGCTGGGCTGTATTCAGTCCTGGATTTTGGTGAAGCCTGAACTCTCAAGCTACAGGCACCAGAGCTCAAACCAGCAATGTATAAGGATAACAGAGGAATTGAGAATAAATGTTTCTGACAAAGGGACCCTAAGGAGCTCCAAGCAGAGCCCTGCAAACCAGGGCAGTAATGTTTCCCACCTGATTGCTATGCTCCTTTACACTTGTCCCAAACATTCCCCCCTTCAGAGGGTCCAAGTGACCAAGCAAGGCCATGCAAATGCAAGAAAAACATGTTTCAGCACGGTGATAAAAATTTCCACATTTCTTGTACTTTAGTAAGTAAAAATTCCTGATGGCAGAAGGAGGGGGAGGTGGATGTCCCCCTGCTAGCAGGAATGCACACAGCCAACATCTCTGTGGTACCCAGCTGGAAGGAGCCCAGGGCTGCTGGGAGGCTGCGGGGCACAGGGCAGGAGCTGCTGTGTCCCTGTAAGGCACTTTATCATAAAGAGGTCTAGATGGAGACCAATAACACCCTAAAATCCCTTCTGGGGTGCAGAACCTGTAGAAGAAATTACCTGCTCAGCCCCAACTAGGATCATGCTCCCAACCCTCCTCCAATCCCCAATTTTCCCTCTTATGGAGAGCCAGGAGGGAAAGGGGTTGTTTGCCCATCACCCCATTTCTTATTTTCCTTTTCCATGGAAGGAAAGCAAGCACAAGCATTTCTTTTTCTCCCCCACATCCTTCCTCTCTCAAAGTGAGGAAGAAGAAGACTGAGGCTGAGCAAATTGAGTAAGTCAACTCTCTCTCTCCTCCCTCTAAGTACTAGCATGAAAAAAACCCACATTTCTCTAACAAAGAAACATTTCAAGAGCCAAAAAATCTTTTCCCTGTCAAATAAAGTGGATGATGGACCTGGCTGAAAGCACAGCCTTGGGAGATGGGTATAAACACAATCCTGCTGTCCTGGGGCCTAGGGATCACCCAAGCTCTGGTTATTCCCTAAGTGCCTGGAGGGATTTTATCACCCCCTCTCTGCTGGGAGGCAGACCCAGATAGCAGCAATCTGAGGACCTAGAAATAAAGGACTGCAAAATTATAGCAAAAATTGGGGAATAGTCACAATGGCGAAAGCAAAGGCAGCTGTGGGCAGAAATGTAGGAGGTGAGGATAATCAAAGGGTGCTCCAGACTGCTGCAGTGTCCTTTCAAAGTGTGCTTGAGTCATTAGATGAAAGAATAATCAAATTACGAGTAGAAGGAGGAAGAAAAAGGCCTCATCACGCACTCAGTGTGGAGATCTCTTGGGAACTCAAATCAGTCCTTGTCAGCCTCAATCTGCCCTGCCCTGGTCCAGAGAGTTTCACTGTAATTACTGTTTTAAGAGACCACCCTTCCTTGGCACATCTGCTGGGATGCAGCTGAGTGAGGCACCCCCTGGTACCGTCCTGACTCTCAGGGGTTGGTTTTTATCACTGGGGCAGCCACAGGACAGGAGATTACAGTCAGGACATAAGAGACAGCATCTTTTGTTAAAGTGCCTTATTTTCTTTGAGCTTTTAAAACATCTTCTAAAACATCTTCAGTAGAAGGAAGGCACAAAAAAAAAAAAAAAAGAAAAAAAAAGGAATACAGGTTTTATATGAAAGAGAGTAGAGAATTAATCAATATTTACACAGATCTTGGATAAGATTACAGCACACACTAATAACCCAACACAGCAAAAAGCAGAGTGTCAAAAAGAAGGGCAAAACCTGTTTGAATGCTTTCAACACCATTCCCCGGAGATCCCAAGTGTAAACTGTTTTATCTAGGAAAAGGCATTTTAACTTGGGCTTTGGTAATGGGGGTTGATTACAGCCCCAGTGCTTGCAGCTGGCAGGAGCACGTGGGTGGGCCACCCCACCTCTCCAGAGCACAGCCCAGCCTTAGACGAGTTCAACTTTAGCGTTTGGATAAACAGCCACCACGTCATATCCTTCGGGGGGCTTAACCCTCTCCTTGGCATGCGTCTCGCAGTACAGCTGCTCCTCAATGAAGAAATAGCCCCTCTGCTTCAGGTTGAGCCCACAGTCGTCACACATGAAGCACTCGGGGTGGTAGAGCTTGTCCCGAGCCTTGACAATGGTGCCCCTGGGAGAGACCGGGAGAGTTCAAGTCAGGTGGAGAAACAAGGAGCATGAGCAGCTTTTCCTGCTGCCTCAAGTGAAACAGTAAGTGGAGGAAAGCAGCATGCAGGGACATGTTATCAGGGGTTCTCAGCCCACCCAAAGCTGCCACCTCACTCCAGGTGTGGCTTCACTGTGCTTCTGCAGGGAGGGATGCTCCACACCCAGCAGCACAGTGTGATTTTGCTCCACAGTGTGATGCAAAAGAGAGCCTTAAATATCTACACTCAGACTGGATCTGAAAATGAGGAGCCAGCATCCTTCAAGGACTGGGGCTGAGCACCTGCAGGCACTATGACTTGTGGAGCAGAGACCCTCACTCAGCACCAGCAAGAATATGGTTACAGGCATTAGCACAGCTCACAGTCAGCCATCAAATTTGGCTTGAGCAGGATGTAAATTACAGCAGAACATAAATTACAACAAGTCATAAATTACAACAAACAAAGCAGAAAAACACCTATACTTTCTGAAATAAACATCCATCTGTCAGAGAGTAACTCTTCAACAAACAAACAAAACAGCTGTCTTCTCAACACTCAAGGTGTTTCTCCCACTAACCTCTGTAAGGCAGTGAAGGAGTGCTTGGTGCTGTGGTGCTATTCATAGTCCCTGGGCAGCTACTATGATAAGCAGGGCACAAACCATCCTATAAATCATCCTCTGCGAGATTCCCTTAAAAGGGGCAATCCAAACTGTATTGCTCAGATTTAGATATGTTTAGAAAAAAACAGAAGGGGATTCAAGGTACTCTGCTATAAATTCTAACCCATGTGCCTGGCAGGACCCATCCCAGCCGTGTCCCAGTGTCACTGTCCCCACTGCTCCGGGGGCTTTGGTGAGGCATGACACTCACACGATGCCATTCCTGCAGCGGGTGCACTCGGGAAGCATCTGCAGCCCGGACATGGGGCCACCAAGCTTTGGCACCGGGGACTTGATGTTCCTGGGGTTGCTCAGTTTGTCGAGTTTTTCACCTGCCAAGAATTATAAAAGACACAGATTAAAAACTCGGCCTCTCAGGGCTGGTTTTTTTCCCCTCTTCTTTCTTCTTCTTCCTTTTTTTTTTCTCCTTTTCCCTTATGGAGTCAGATGAGCCTGCCTATCATAACTGGACCTGCAACTCCCTTGAAGTTCCAGGACAGCACCAGCTCAACAGACATGGACCTGTCAAAATGCAAAGCAGCTGTGATCTAGAGACGAGAGGTTAATTTGGCTGTAATACTACTTACTTAGTTAAAAATCATAAAGTGAAGAGCTCAGAAAAGCAACCCCTCCCCACCAAAAAAAAAAAAAAGGTTCCATCACAGCAACATTTCAGGTACACTTGGTACACCCACCATCTTTTGAGGAGATATAGATGAAAGAATTTCAAATAATGAGGCAAATTGAACTAAACAATAATAGAATCATATCCACTTTTCTTCCTAGAGCATGCATTTAAGCTCAAATAATCTAAACCAACATACTGTGATAGAAGGTGAGGTCTTCTGAGGCACCAGGCCTCCTTTCATGAAGGTCCAACAACGGGAAAGGAAGCAATGAAGATTTTGTGCATGTGAAAAATATCATAGCAGAATTTTCAGTGTTGCTGCTCCCACTCCCTACAGACCATCTACCATCTGCCCTCCGATTCTGGGACAACACCAACATGCTTGTTGCCAACTCCTGGGATACTTAAAAGCTTCCAGTATTGACTTCATGGTCTTCCACAGCTGACAACTGACTGGTCTGTTTGGCATATATTGATCTATGGTTCCTCTGTGATTGCCTAAGGTTGTAGAAAGGAAAAGCTCATGAAGAAGGACCAGCTGGCTCATAGTTTGGAAAAGCAGCAGAGGAGCTCTTGGATGAACAAGTCATTCTCCAGAGTTCTAATTTGTCACACTCCCTGAGCTTCCAAGGTGTTTCAGTCCAGGGTCCACTGTAAACATGTGCTTCAAGCCCTGATGCCCAGAAGGTCTCAGCAGGCCACAAACAGTTTCTGATCGAGGTATCTGCACATACTCACTGCCAGTTTTGGCAGCTTCAGAGCAAAATCCAGTGCAAGAGCCTCCCATAGCTCCAGGATCATCTCTGCCTTTCCTAAAGGGAACTTTTAGTACCTGGAGCCTGATACATCACTGCTGGTTGCTCACAGACCCTGGGCAGGGTCACACCACAGATACATTTTGAAGAGCATTACTCAGAAAAGAGACCCCTGCTCCCCTGTCTAGTGTGTCTCAGGAGTGCTTATTGTCCTGGGCCCAGATGGGAAGGAGGGTGCACCCCTCACTCATCCTCTGGGGTGCACAGGCACCTTCACACCACTGCCCCCCTCTCCAGCCATGGCTCTGACACAGAAGCCAGCACTGCCAGCAGTTCCAGCCAAGCGAGTAAACCAAAAGGACCAACTTCCCACCAGACCCCACCTCCCCAAAATACAACACAGTGTTTGGCAATGCCAAGAGCTTTCATACATGCAAGAGTGCCTGCCCAAGAGCAGAGCAGGGCTACTCCACCCCAGGAGTTCCCCCAGCAGTTGGCTGGCTCCAGCCAAGCCCCTTGTTGAATCTTTCCGCTGCCTTGCTGGGAATAAACTGAAGCAACTGCTCAAGCTGTTGGCTTCCCCCAGCATGAGACACAGCGTGCTTGGACTAGACAGCCTCATCTGCCAACATTTAACAGTTAAGCTGTCACTGCCTCTCATGCAGAGTGCTTGGATAAGCTGCTTAAAAAAGGAAAGAAGGAAAAAAAAAAAAACCCCACGGGATTTTACAGCAAAATGAACCCTGCAGAGAAGGCTGCTTCCCATTTTCTTGAACTGTGTATCATTTCCTTCTATTTACCAGCCCAGTCTCATGGTGATTTATGATCTTCAGCAAGGCAGAAAAGTGCTTTAACTCCACAGCCTCAACCATGCCATCCCCGTTATGGCTGTCGCTTTTTGTCCTTTCTGGGTTATGGGTGGGCACCGCCATTCCTCCAGCCTCCACCTCAGCACAAAGCATTGCTCCCTAAGGGTGTGCAACAGGGCTAAAATGCTTCCAGTAGGAACACATCCCATATAAAACAGGTCGTTGTCCAAGACACAGCTCCTTGGGAGAGGAGAGCTTGACTTTAAAAGGAGAATGCAGAGCAGGCTCAGGTCAAAATGTGTAATTTTAGGCTTAAGGAAAAAGGAACAGGGGTGGCAGCTGTAAAACAAACCCAGCAGGAATGCTTAGGATTGAAAACGTGCTGGAACATCACAGAACTTCATGCCAAGCAGAGATGCTTTTCACCTAATTTCTCATCCCTTGTGAAATAAACAGTGTTGGAATGACCAAGGCATAAGTGAGCCTGTGCCTGCAGGCAGTCACACATCCCCTCCAGACTACTGAGAGGGAGAATGGTAGAGCCCAGGTGACAGTGACTGCTCCAGCCTGTCCCATACTGGCTGGTACCCAAAAGCAGCCTGTCAGGCTCCAGTCAAACCCACAGTGTTGCACTGGTGATGGGCTAGAGCCAAGAGAATGCTGATGAGCACACATCCAGGACTGGCTGCACAGTCCCAGGATGTGGGGACTTGTCCTGGCACCTCTTTGTTCCTCAGCCTTTTCTTTCTCCCGTCCTCCTAGCTCTGGGTTTCGGCCAGCCCAGGGCTGTGGGATACAGGGGGAGGCAGGAGCAAACCAGCAAAGCCTGAATTTTGTTCCTTTCCCTGGCACAGAGAAGGGAGGAACGCAGCAGCATTACTAAGTGGGATTAACACAGTCACTTCCCATTTACTTCTTCCTAACAAGGAGACTGGGGAAGCAGCAGATTTGTCCTTGCTCTTGGAGGTCTTGAAGGACCTGAAGGTCCAACTGGGGCCTGTATTTAACATCAGTTTTTCTGCCAATCCAGGGGCTGTAATACTAATATAAAAGATAATAATACACCCAGTGTTTCTGAGGCTGATCTTATCTCATGCTTTGCAACTATGGCTCAGTCCCACTGAGAAAACCAATACTGGTGGAATTCCATGTTGATCAGAAGTTATCTGTAATTGTGTTTTTTGTGAAGCAAGAACCAACATCCTTCTAGTCAAAGAACAGACTTCACCAACATTTTAGACAAACAGAAACTGAAATGCAACAGCCCAACTCACTACCTCTCACGGCTCCATAATGAGATTTACAGCAGTTGGTATTTTCTCATAAAAGAGATGTTCCTGGATTCACATGATTGCACTACGGGGCCCTTGGAAGGAAACAGAAAGAGGGGTCTTGCCCTGTAAAACTGTAAAGCAAAGCTTAAAAGTTTGAACATAAAAGCCCCAATAGATTTAACAGTGAAAGGCAAATAAAATAAAATACAAACCTGAAATGTATAGATTGGGATCTTATTATTTAATGTGTTAATGACAAGGGTAGGAAGCTGTGACAGAACTGAGAAGTGAGCCAAGAGCTCCTGATTTCTATCCCTGCCTTGCTGAGGACCATCCCACGTCCTTATGCAAATGCCATTTACTTCACCAGACCAGGCTCTCCAACAGTGATCTTACACAACCGCTTAAGGCCATCACATTTCATAAACCATCCCAGAAAACAGCTGCCATGCTGGTTACAAACCCAGCTTTCACACAGGGCTCAAGTCAGCCACAACATTTGGTAAGCAGGAGTATGTGAAACACTGATTTGAAACCTGCCATCCCGGTGGTCTCCTCACAGGAGGGTGCTCGGGTGCCAACCTCCTTACCATTCTCACTGGCCTCCAACATGCCCTGTAAGTACCGGAAGGATCCAGACTGCTTTGGCTCTGAAATGGGCTTTTCATAATCCTGAAGCATCTTGTAGACATCTGACTCCACATCAATCCCATTTCTGTTCCGTGGGAGAGACTTCACGGGGTCAATGCTGCTTTAAAGCAAAGAAAGAAAGGCTCAAGTCAAACAGAAGCAGCTACAGTCAGCTCATCAGGGAGGTACTGAAATCTTCACATTCCCACAGATTCAATTAAGCACCTCTGTTCTCATGTGTTTCCCTGCCTGGAGGTATGTCTGGCACAGGAACAGTTGCTGAACCAAGGAGGTTAAACTCGTTCCCTGTTGGGCTCCAATTGAGCAACACAGCAAGGGCTGGCCCAGTTACCAGATGCCTTCAGGAAAGAGGACAGCTGCTTGCAAATGCTGTAAATTGCTTTGCTACCTATGGAATTTATTGATAAACTGGGAAAAAATATGCATTTCACTAACTATGTAGGGCCAGGACATGCACCCACCCCTTGCAAGGGCATCTGGAGAGTGTGTGCCAGGCAGGACAGCAAAATCCCTCACCACCCACAAGTGCTTCCTGTGAAGCTGGTGTTACTGTAGATACATCACAAACACAGAGCACAGCTTAATTGAGAAAACTACCTCACCAGGGAGGGGAACACCGGGGCTGCCCTGTAACCCCCACCTCCTGCCTTCAGCCTGGAGCTGCTCCTGGTCTGTATGAGGAGCATTCGGGATGCACAGACAACAAATAGCAATTTAAACCATTATTCCAGTCCAATTCATCAAAACATGAAAAGCATGGTCTGGAATCAAATATATTTCAGGTACATGCTTAAATGTCCTACTGAGAAAAGCTGAATCCAAGTGCTGTTGTGCTCCAGAGGCCCCAATACACAGCACAGCTCCAGGGGAAGGGGCTCCTCTTCCTTTTTATAGAGCAGGTCATCAAGGTCATTATAAAACCAATAGAAATAGCAAGAGCCCTGAACTCCATCAGCTTCACATACTTTAGCTATCATCTGGATCATTTTCTCCACCAGTGTTATATTCACATCTGCTTAAACAAATAAACAAAAGAAATAACATTCACTTTCAAAGAAAGAAAGAAAGAGAAAAAAACCTCCAGACAAAAATCACTTCCAAAGAATGGCTAGAGCTCCATATTCTGGTAGTGACTGCCCAGCAGCTCTGCTCCCTGCGAGAGGTGAGGGCCAGCCTGGGTGATGGGGCTGAGCCATGCTGGTACAGAGCCATGGACCCATCCCCTCGACTCCCAGCCAGTCCAAACCCCATAGGTGTGCTCCAAGTGCTTCTTTACCCTGTTACAGCTCATTCCTACATCAATTCACACATTTTCAATGGGAAAGGGCATGTTTTGGCCAGCTGTGTTAATTTGGCCCACAAGGGTAGCTTCTGTGAGAAGCTGCTAGAAGTTTCCACCATGACAAAACCAATCTCTGATGGCTCTGAAGTTGGATATGCTGCTGGCCCAATGAGAGAAGCTGGTAATGCCTCTGTGATGACATATTTAAGAAGAAAATCAAAACGATGCAGGGGCAGATTTTCCAGGGATGGCAAGGCACTGCTGCTGGGGTCCATCCCTGGCACGGCCCGTGGCGATACGCGGCCGCGGCTGCCGCCATCTCGGCACGGCCCGTGGTGAGCCTTGCCTTGCCTGCCCAGCCACGCCTGGCCGGCTGCACTGCAGGCAGAGGGGCAGGGGGGCAATGGCTTCTCCTTCCCCGTGCCATGCAGGGAAGAGAGGCGTTAAACAGCGCTGGCACCATGGCTACCACTGCTGGCTCCATGGCGGCAGGGCCTGGCCTGTGCTGGAAACATGGCCAGTGACTCCCCAGTGCAGAACTTAGACAAAATCGACCTCTCAGTGCTGTGGGATCCTGCAGGAATCTTTGAATTAGTAGAACTTGTTGACAATGGTATCTATGAGGAGCAGCTTTTCTTCTAGTCAGAGAAGAAGAAGTAGTGAGGACATGTGAAGGGAAACAACATGGCAGCACCAAGGTCAGTGGAAAAGGAAAAGGGGGAGGAGGTGCTCCAGGCATTGGAGCGAGATTCCTCTGCAGGCCCTGGTGAAGACTATGGTGAAACAAACTGTCCCCTGTAGTGCAGGAAGTCCATGGGGGATGCAGAAATCCACTCAGAGCCCATGGGAGAAGTGCTCACGGCAGAGCAGGTGGGTGCCAGAGAAAGCTGTGATCCAGTGGGAGACACGAATGGAGAGAGGGCTCCTGCTTCCAGAGACAGAGAGAGGGGCCTTGCTTTCAAACCAGAGCAGCCTGTCCTTACAGGACTGCACCCTGTGGACGAGTGATCCACGCCACAACAGTTTTGGGAACGCTTGTTTGGCTGTGGGAGGGACTCACAGCACAGCAGAGAAGAGACTCCTGTCCCTGAGCAAACAGAAGATCTCGAGTGACAAACTGACAAAAACCCCCACACCCTGTCTCCCTGCACTGTCAGTGGGAAGGAGGGAGGGGCTGGAGGGGAAAAAAGGTGTTTTAGAGGCTTATTTTACTTCTCATTAGCCACCTCTTACTCAGTTAATACATTTACTTTATACCTTTAAATCTGGACCTGTTTTGCCCTTAGAGTGTTTTCTCCCAGTCCCCAACCCATGAGCCCTTTGTTATTTCTTTTTCACTCTCCTCTACCCACCTGAAAGCCAGAGAGGGTAAGCAAGTGACTTTAGTGGTGCCTGGCATTTGGCCAGTGTCAAACCATGACACCAGCCCAGCCTCATCAAAGAAAATGTACTCCAATTCAAAGAAAATTCCTACCCCAACTCTACTCAAAGACCCAAGTGAATGTCCTGGCTTTAGGCTCATTTGCAGATAACACCAGATTTGGTTCTCTATTTTTTGTGCAGTTCTCCTCTTTCCAACTTCAATAACTTTCCCGGAGCAGCACAGGGAATGAGCTGGCTTGCTGCATCACTGAAATACAGATTTATGCAGACACAGAGTTCCCAAGCTGAAAAGAAACTCTCTTTGCATGTGATACAGACATTACTTTCTTGCAGAATATTTTGCCAGTTTGGAAGAACATAAATCAAGATCCTCATAAGCCATGTGAAAGCATCCCAGTCCACAACCTGGCTTGTCTCAAAGTCTGAGTTATTCACCCAAACCATTCTTGGCTACACAAAAGCCTTTTCTTTCCTAGGAGCATTATTTATTTCTCAGCCTCCCGGACAGCTGCACTGAGCAGATCTTACACTTATAAACATCCCAGTTACTGGAGTTCATCCTTTCAGCCAATATCTCCAGCTTCCAGGGCAAGTATTGGCTCCTGGCTCTGCGGCAAGGTGATCCCCACTCCTAGGAGGGCAGCACCCTCCATCCTGCCTTGGAGATACACTTTGAAAAAAACAAAATATTATTGTCTATGACACTTACAGAGCCATGGAATTGTTTAGGTTAGAAAAGCCCTCTAAGATCATCAAGCCAAACCATTCCCCCAGCACTACCAAGGCCACCAGTAAACCATGTCCCCAAGAGAAACATCCACATGTCTGTTAAGTCTCTCCAAGTATGGTGACTCCACCAGTGCCCCAGGCAGTCTGTGCCAGGGCTTGACAACCTTGTTGGTGAAGAAATTTTTGCTAATATCCTACTTAAACCTCTCCTCCTTTTGTCTTCCTTGGCATTAATCCCAGCTGGGAGACCGCACCTAGGGGCCACTAATCTACCAACTCACATCAGCAACAGAAGGATCTTAACAGAGATCTGGACAGTGAGCACCTTCACCAAGATGCATATCTGAGCATTGCTTCAGCATCACAAGTGTCAATTTAATGTTGCAGTTGTTACCTATGTAGATGTGGCCATTTTGTTCAGAAATTGGTATCTCCAGACCTTTTTATTTTTTCGTTTTGTTTAGTTAGCTTAGTTTGTTTTCTCCTCCCACCTACACGTGACCAACAGAGCAGGGGTCCAGCCCAGCATCTTGCTGGACTTGGCAGAGTTAGGTCAATGGTTAGAGAGGATGATCCTGAAGGTCTTTGCAACTGAAGTTAGTCTAAGATTCCATGATCTCAGGAGCACAACAGCCTCTGTGCACTCCCTGAACCTTAGTTTGCAGGAGCAGCAGCAGATGCAGAGCCAAGCCCTGCCCTGGTCCTACCTGTGTGCAGGAGTGATGTGGAGTCCACTCAGCTGGCCTGGAAGGGCTGACTCGGAGCTGTTGTTTGTGTAGAGCCGGGTTGGTTGGTGATGCTGCATGTTCAGCATCTGCTTGCTGTCCACAGGGCTGCCCCCAGCTCCATGGGGCATCGACCTCCTGCTCTGGGCAGGGCCACTGTCCTGCAAGAGAAAGAAAGCAGAAAACCTCAGATTTATAGAGTGTGATGTACATGGAGGGGCTGTGTTGGGACATGCAGTTTGCAGTAATAACATTTTATGTGTGCTGTGGAAAACCGGGATGTGCAGCAGGAAAAGGAAAATTCAGGCTTGACCTGCAGTTAAATTGTGCTGAATCTACACAGCTCCCCTTGGTCCCCATCTAAATGAATTTGCTGTTTCTCCATGGTAAGCCACTGCCAAATATTCTGCATTTATTTGTCCTGCATTTATTTTATATTTAAAAGCATATGTACTGTTTCTTTAAAAGAAAGGCTGTGAGTCTACTTCTTATTCCATGTTCCATCACTCTGAGCACACTTGCTGTGCTCCTGACTTCAGGGCCATCCTTTCCATCTCTATCAGCAAAACAGGATAAACCCCTGCTAGGCAGCTCCACGTGCAGGATGGGCAACACCCGAGGCCAAGGGACCAGTCCTGGGATTTTCACTTGCAGCTCCCCTTGTCCACACAGATCCACGTTCATTTGGGGAGGTTTTCTCCCCAAATAAGATTAGTTATTTACAGTGTGACAAACACATCAGCCAAGGGTTTAGCTTGATGTTCATATTTCCATTTGCTTTTTAAGTCCCAACGTAAACCGTGGAAATCTTTTTGTCATATGATCTCAAGTCAGGAACTCAGACGCCATTAAACGACAAATTTTCCACATTATTTTACCATTTTACCAATGTCAAACATTACCTATGTGTTATTCCACACACATGGAATTTCACATACATGGGTGTGTTATTAGTCAGTCCCATCCACACCCATAAAACAAGCAATACCTACTGCTAATGTCACCTGAGCCAGCCTTTGCCTGCAAAAACTCAGTATGGGGAGAGGAGCTAACTCCAGCAATTGGGAAAAGCAGCAGGAAGCTGGACACAGCCCATGGACACATGTTGGCTGCTATTTCCAGCCACGTGAGTCACAAACATGCCTGGACTGATGAAAGACATAGATGCTGTGTAAGGGGCTGGAATCTGTTTAACCTGGTTTAATTTGTTCTAGGGCAGCTCCCCAACACAGCTGCCTTCCACCAGCTTTTCAGTAGATTGAAGCTGATAAAAAACCAAGCAGGGAAATAAAACACCATCCTGTGAACAAATAACAAAGTGTATATTGTGGGGCTCTGATACAAAGCTTATTTTTACCTAAAGTAATCCAATAAATACTAATTAGAAACAAGTGTCTATCCCTGGTGCGCAGCAGAACTCACTGGTGCTCACAAACCTTGTAAAAACAAATAGCTAAGAGAAGTAAAAAACAGATCCTGCTAGAAAAAGATCTTGAAAGTCCAATCCTTCAATTCTTCCTAAGGCAAATGTCCATTGATAAAACCAAGCTTAGCTAAGAACTGAAAGATGGTGTCTTTGAGTTTTTTTTCCCTACCATCAGCTGAAAACCTGCAGCCTTCAGCAAGCTCCCAGCAACTTCCCCTGCCTCAGAAGCTGCTGGAGCCCTCTTGGCACAGTTCCCTCCACACCACACATGCACAAACACATGGGGAAAACTGCTTCCAACATAATAACTTCAAATTGTCTATTAAAAAAGGAATTTTGCTGCCAGGAATAATATAATTTTAACTGCTCCCCAATTCATATTCTTTAAAAAAACACATATACATATATATATACACACACATACAAGCAGGCTATGGGTTCCCAATTCCAGATTTAGATTATTATTTCAAGGGAAATAAAGAAAACACTCAACCATGACGCAGAGAGGAAAAGAAGGATCATAAACATTTTTTGGGATAAAACCAATGGCCCATATGGGTGGCAGCACTGACAGCAATGCTTTTAGAAAGCCATTACCTTTAATTATCTGGGCCAGACTCACACTCGGTCCAGGGTGGCTGGAGGAGAGGGCTGGGTCCTCTCCTCTGACCTCACCTGCTCCTGCACACTGGTGCCAGCCAGACCTTTCCTGGGGAGCAAGGAACTGGCAGCTGTTTCCAGAATGGAAACCTCCTCCAGACCATCATCTCCATGGACTTGCTTAAATCCAGGGTAGTTTGTAAAGCATCACCCCTTTGTCCCTGTTAAGCTCAGCAATTTGTACATCAGGACCAAATGTTGCTATAAAGCTCAAACTTATTGCTTGGGCACTCTCCAAAAGGAGGCCCTTGATGGAAGGGAGGAAGCAGAGCCCTTCTTGCATTGCCTGGCATCCCCAGGGGCCACCAGCTCCCTGTCCCTGTGAGAGGAGGATGTTCAGGGTGGTGGCAGCTCACCTTTCCTCTGCTCAGCCATGTCATAAAGTCACAGGTGGCCCAGCAGCATCCATAGGGATCAAGAGGCTCCTCCTGCAGCCCAAAATGCTGTTGCCAGGTCAGAACTCAGTCTCTTCCTCAAAGGCTGTGAGATCTCTGCAAGGCTTCACTTTGTGCAAAACACTCATACATTCACCCTCAGAAACTTGGAACCAGATGGATTTTTTTCCAGTTGTCAAATTCAAGATCAGCTCAAATTTTCCCCCTTTGAGGCCTAATTTGCTTTTCGTTGCTGAATTTTCTTCCTGCTTTTTATGGCCTTTCTTAAACTGAATTTGCAAACCCTTCTTAAGAGCTGGCCTGTAAACTCTCACCAAAGAGAACTCTTTCAGCCTACAAACCAGAAACTCCCAATTTGTTTTCTCATGCTTGGCTGTATTTTTAATGCATGTTGCAAAATGTCCTATCTGTCCTCCCACCCTTTTTCAACTACAAGTCCTTAGCTCTAGAGACCACAGAGATTTAGAGAACATCAGACTTCATATTCTGATCCAAGGCATTTTAAGTTCATTTACTTCAGCATGTCATAAATCAGACTTTTAAAAGACCAGAAGTACAAACAAAATAACTAATCTCCCTTTTCCAGACTACCAGAGATTAAAATTGAAGATTACAAATTTGACAGGCCAACATTGGCTCCTAGAACCTCCAAACAAGCCCCTCCACCCATGGCATGATCTGGAAGGGCTTTGAGCAATGATGGCTTCCGTGTATCTAAGCAACCTTCTTTGGGAGCAAACTCACCAGCTGCAGAGCTGGAAACATCTCCTGAATTACACCTCCAAGCCCCAAGTCCACCCTCCATCTGCCCTTGTGCAATGGTGATGGGAGATTTGCCCAGACAGGATCAGCAGCAGCTCTGTCCCTGCGATGTGGGTGCCCATCCCCAAAGGAATTGCCTGCACCTTGTTTATTTTCCTAATCCTGGGGGTGCTGGTCCTGTTCTCACACACCACATGAGACTCAAACAGAGCTGAAGGCCATGCTTGGCTCATCCCATTCCGTTTGATGTTCTTCAGATTCATTCTCTTCTCAAAACCAGACCATGATGGGCCAGTGCCAGCTGCTGTTTGCTGCCAAAATGCTGAATTACAGACACAAACATTGCTATTTATGCACCAGGAGGTACAGCATCCCTCAGCTATAGAGTCACCTGGAAGAGGTGCCTCTGGTGACCGTGTTTGGTTATTTGTGTCCACCATCCAGCAACAGCAGGACAAGCCTGTCTACTTCAGCTCCTCCTCTGGCTTCTTTCTCCCTTGCTCCAAGCTTGGGTGATTGAGTCCCAGCTGATTCTGGTCTCTCCTGGCAGAGCTTTCTGTGGATGAAGTTTTGCCTTCATTACTGCAAGTCCTCTATCACGTACATGTGCCAAGCAATCAAGCCCGAAGACCTATCCCACTACATCCTGACATCCTCAAGCCAAGACTCAGCCTCTGCACAAAAGACGACTGCAACGCTGTAGCTCCCTCCTCTCATTCCCCCCAGGTTTCCAAAAGTAAAGACACTACTTCATCTCTGATGAACCAGTTCAAAAGTCCCAGAAATGGAAATCTTATTATTACCCCACAGTGGGGGGTGTATGGGACAGACAGCATGGATTTCATTTCAGTGCAAAGAAGTGATTCACACTGTGGCCAACAGCTGAAGGAACAGGATTGATTCTCAAAAAAAAAGCCTCAGAAGAAGTCCCAGGGGAACCCTTATGACAAAGCTGCTCCCAAAGCTCAGAGAAAAGAATAAATTTTAAAAGCTGCACTCATTCTAACACATATTTCCCTATAAGCACAGTTCAGATGTTCTGTGTATATGCTGCTTTTACAGACTAAGCAGCCTTCAATCTAACTTTCAAAAGCTCTAGTAAGTATGATCCCATTACTTTGCTCAGCTCAGAAGATTGAGGAAAAAAGGTAAGGTCTAATTTGCTGAGGCTGGATAAACTGAGTGTGTGAGTTCTTTTACAAGACAGATTTTAAATATTCTGCCAAGCTCCCCTTTCAACATTGTCAGAGCCTGAAATGTTACAGTTTTTGACTTAAACATTTCCGTGAAGGACTTTTAGAACTGTATTACAAAACCTGTACAGAATACCACCACACCCTGAATGGGCCTTTGAGTGAGGCCCTGGACTGTTCACTAATGAAGATAAGATGAAACTCAGGAACTGGGGACATTCACAAAGCACAAGCTTAGCACCTTGGGGAGGAGACCACAGCCCCAGGGCTATCAGCTGCCAGGCTCACACAGACCTTGCACCCAAGGGTGGGGGGAGAGACGTGTTATAGATGGGCAATATGAAGATTGGCTCTCGCAATTAAGGGATGAATACTGTGTGTATGTTAAGAGATTTTGTTGGTGTATGGTTATGTTACTGTAGTTTGTTGTTTGTACACCCTCTGTTCTCCCCATAGTCCCCTTTCCCCCCACTGTATTGCTGCCACAGACAGTCAGGGACACGTGGAGGGAGGGTGTGCACGTGTCCCTTGCATGGGGCATCTGGGAATGGGGAAAGCCTGTTGCTGGGGAGCTTGGCATGACAACACCTCACCTCCAGTCAAACTGCAAGGTCTCCACCAAGGGACAGCAAAGAAGAGTTGACTGATGGACTGCAGGAGGGCCAGGGCTGGCTGAGGCAACCCCAGGGGTATAAAAGGCACAGCAGCCACTTTGTGGATGAGCC